GCTCCCATTATGGGCCTTCAAACCCTTCGCCTTGTTTCCAATGGGCAATCCTGTCATTCCCGTTCATACATCCCCATTCCAGGGCAAGCACCTGTGAGGGTTACATTGCAAAGATACCACAAGCAAGCCTGGACTTAAATGGAACAACAGAAGGCCTGCTTCCTAACACACCAGCCAAGCCGTAATTTAAGAAAACCTGCTTAATAATAAATGCAACTTCCTATAACTACAACAAAACAGAGTGTGGCTTAACTTATTCAAAGAGTTTGTTCGTTTTTAAGAACCTCAACTAAATAACCTCACTTAATGGCCAAAAAAACAACTCACCCCAACCTGCAATGCTTACAGAACCAAACCACCAGCCTGCAGCAGACTTCTTTGGGCTCTGCTAATTTTGGGAATGCAGCCCACGACGCAGCCTCCAGCTGCAATGGAAGCAACCAACCCAGAAGGCTGTGCCCCCTGACACTCCTGCAGAACCCCTGAGACCGACAGAGAATCAACCCAGTCAACCAATTAAAACGCCGCTCAGGAGCAAAGCAGAGACAACCCTGCCAAAACTTCAAACATCCAACCCAAGCCAGCCCTCCGAATGTTGTGAGGCTGACCGGCGCGGTTGACTGAGGCTCCCGCCTTTGCCAGGCTGTTTGGTGGGGAGGGGAGGAGTACAGTATGGTGACGGTACATCACGCGCCAGACTGAAGCCCTGGGTGGGCCTGTTCTGACCCGCGGGCCGTATGTTTGACACCTCTGCCTAAGACCAACCCCTGAATTAGGCGCCTAACATAGCAAAGATTCTCTGAGCCATGAGACGTCATAACCCCTTCAGGAGGGACAGTAGCTCTGCTGAGCGCCACTACCACCGATCACATTATAGAGCATATTTCTCTTTAGCTGGGATCCCCAACCTTTTTGAGCTTGCAGGCACATTTGGAATTTGGGCATGGCATGGTGAGTGTGGCAACAAAATGGCTGCCACAGGAGGCGGAGCCAGCTACAAAATGATTGCCCACACTGGGGATTCCTGCCCTGTAGCAAAAAAGGGAGCCTCCGTCTCAGCAGGACTCGAGACGAAGCCAGCTTTTCTACCATCATGGCCATCCATTGTGCTGTTATCAGAAAGCTGCCCCAGTGTGGCTGCGATGCCAAAGACACTTAAAGAAGTATAAATTGGCAGGCTTAAAATGTATAGTCTGAGCGGGCATTCAGGTGAATGCCTCTTGCTTGTTCATCACCGCACCAGATACCAGCTCAGAACATTTAAAGGCCATGACGTTTGACAATTAAGACTCAGAATACAAAACGTTTATTCGATTAGACCACAGTTATAAAAATATACAGTACATTATTAGAGTGGGGCAAAAATACGCAGACAGCATACACTAAAATAAAATTGTCCAGCTTTTTTCTTTTTAAAAAAAGCATACATGCTCTTATTAGACGTCCTGGTGCCTCAATCGTTAAACGTTGAGCAGCCGCTGCACAGGATTTGCTCGCCGACGTAGTCTGATCTGGAAGGAAAGAGAAGGGCATCTGGTTTTTCAGTAGTCTAGGAAAAGAGAACCACCGCCTTCTCTGACCTCTACGTGCGTGCCCATCCACGTTGAGGACAAAAATAGCCAGGCAAGTTATCCGTGCAAGAATTCTCTCCGCTGGAACAGATCAGAGCATATCTAGACTAGCAGTCTGGACTCCAGACTGGACAGCAGACCTCTCGGAAATCCATAAGCAGGCCCCGAGGAGGTCACCTTTCCGGAAATCACCTTCCCCTCATAATGCTGTGCACTAAGGCAGAATATTTCTGATTAACACATGGAATTCACTGCCACAGGAGGTGGTGGCAGCTACAAACATGGACGGCTTCAAGGAGGAATTGGATAAACATATGGAGCAGAGGTCCATCAGTGGCTATTAGCCACTCTCGGTCTGGGGCAAGTGATGCTCTGTATTCTTGGTGCTGGGGGGGGCAACAGTGGGAGGGCTCCTAGTGTCCTGGCCCCACTGGTGGACCTCCTGATGGCACCTGGTATTTTTGGCCACTGTGTGACACAGAGTGTTGGACTGGATGGGCCACTGGCCTGATCCAACATGGGCTTCTCTTATGTTCTTATGGCAGTTTCTGCAGCCACCATGGTTGAAGGAATTCTTTGCCATAGCGAGCCTCTGAGACCATTAACTGGTTTACTTATTTTGCACCCTGCCTTTCTCCCCAGTGGGGACCCAAAGACCCATTCTCCTCTCCTCCGTTTTGTCCTCACCACAACCCTGGGAGGTAGGTTAGGCTGAGAATGCGTGACTGGCCCCAAGGTCACCCAGCAGGTTTCCATGGCAGAGGGGGGGGGGTGAACTGGGATCTACCAGATTCTAGTCCAACACTCTAACCAGTACACCACACTGGCTCAGTGTTTTAAAAAGGCTATCTAGTGGCAGTGAGTTCCAGCAATGAATTATTGCTATGATTCTATAAGGTGCTTTACAGAACATATATTTCCTTTGGGTAGCAGCCTGCCACAGGTCAGCTTCATTGGGTAGCCCTTATTATTAGGGCTAACCAAAATCTTACAACACCAGGCCAGCTTTTGAAATCCCTTGAACTCCTCAGAGGACGACAGGCTGCGGGCCAGGAGCTCTACCCAGCCCTGTAGCTAGATGATATTCAGTTGGGGGGGGGGTTTTTTGGCACTGGTGGGGCATGACTTCTGACCTCAGAAAAAATAATAAAATAAAAATAGGCTTTGGCGTGAGGAGAAGCAGTCGGGGTTACAGTGTGGAAGGACAGTGTTTCGCTTCAGTTCTGTTTTACTACTACAACAAATAATATAAATAAACAGCCAGATATTAAAAATGCACAAATGCATAATAAACAAGGCTCAAAGTCCCTTCAGGGTTAGAAGGCCCTGGGCACGCCAGTTACGGACCTGCAGCTCTCGCTATGTTAGTGTCACGGGTCAGTCAGGGTTAGAGATGGGCAGGGCTTTTTTTGTAGAAAAAGCCCAGCAGGAACTCATTAGCATAATAGGCCACACCCAACAGCAGAAACTCATTAGCATATTAGGCCGCACCCCCATGTTACCAGAAGTGTGGTCATCCAGCCACATCCACCTTTTGCTTCTTATTCTGTTTACCTTGTTTGTTGTCAAAACTCAGGGCTTTTTGTGTAGCAGGAACTCCTTTGTATCTTAGGCCTAATGTAGCCAGTCCTAATAAGTCCCTGCTGTTGGGTGTGGCCAACTTGGGAGCCAGCCGGAACTCCGTTCCTGTGCGTTCCTGCCCCAAAATAGCCCTGGAGATGGGCATGAACCAGGGAAACAGGAAGGGTCCCTGTTAAACCGTCTTTTGTAGGCAGCACATCCAACCAGCCCTCAGCATTAAAAAGGTAAAGGTTCCCTTGCTCGAAAGCCAGTCGAATCCGACTCTAGGGTTGCGGTGCTCATCTCCGTTTCAAAGCCGAAGAGCCAGCGCTGTCCGAAGACGTTTCCGTGGTCATGTGGCCGGCATGACTAGACACCAAGGCGCACGGAACGCTGTTACCTTCCCACCGAAGTGGTACCTATTTATCTACTTGCAATTTCTTGCTTTCGAACTGCTAGGTTGGCAGGAGCTGGAACTAGAGACAGGAGCTCACCCTGTCTTGCGGCACCCGGGTCTTGAACTGCTGAACTACTGAACTACTGACCTTCCACAGCCTGCAGTTGTGTCTTAACCACTTGAGCCACCGCAGCCCTCAGCATTACTCCCACCCAATGCCCCCTATAGGCTGTGAAGTCTTGTGAGCAAAAATTCTACTTTGTGAGCTATGGACATTAAAGTTGTGAGCGAGCGATTTGGCTACTGCATAAATTAGTTTGCTCTGGAGCCATCCTTCCCGAGCTAAGACAAAAATGTGTGAGCTGCTGGCTAAAGAACTGTGAGCTACCTCACACTAAATTCAGCTTAGAGGGAACACTGCTCCCACCCACCCCCACCACGCACAAACATCCCTGTGCACTCGATTCCAGTTTTGCACGCTGCAGATGAAAGCCAGTTATACGGGAACACTTCCTATTTCCCCGGTTCATGCCCATCCCTACTTCTGACTACAGCTTCTGGCTCTGCTTGACTCCTGCTCATGAGTAACCCTTGGATTGCTTGACTACACCTCTTGGACAACCCCTTGGTAATGGCTCTCTTGACTCGGCCTCCCTTGCTCAGACTCTACGACCGCCTTCCAGGAACGCACCCTTGGCTCTGCCTGACCCGTGACAGTCAGTGAAGAATTAGAAGACTAGAACTTCAGGATGTTCCATTTCTGATCACTTTCATGCAGCATGCACAGAAGCCTACCACAATTAAAGGAGAGCTGCAGCTCGAACCTTCAACTACGTGGACACTTACTCTATCACTGAACACAAGGAACACGCGACAGCATTACAGCAGCTGCAGAGTCTACTGCAGTTCTTGCAGATGGGCCGGTCGCACTGCGTGCAAGCCTCTTTGGCGTCCACTGTTCTTATGCACGTTGAGCAGGGCTTGGAAATTCCTTCTGCCGTTGCTGTTTGGAAATACGGTGTTATCGATTATAAACTAGAAGAGATTTCAGCCCTTTGGGGCCATTACTGCGAGTCCCTCCCCAGCCCCTGAACATATCCACTAGAACAGGGGTGGCCAAACTTGCTTAACATAATAAAACTTGCTTAACATAAGAATAAATGTCAGATGTTTGAGAGCCGTGAGAAATAAACAAATATTACACACATGTTTTTATTGGAAAATATGCAGATTTGGGGTTTTTTTTTTACTAATATTACACTGCCAAAAAATAAAAACAAAAGGGGTAAAAACAGATATTGATAATGATATTTATGTGTCCAGTAATATTTATTTGCTAATGATATTTGTCTGAGGGAGAGAGAGGGAGAGAGAGGAACAAAACAAAGCAAATAGATGGGGGAGGGGGAAGGCAGGAAGGAAGAGAGAGAGAAAGGAAGGGAAGGAAGGAGGGAGAGAGAGAGAGAGAAAAAGAGAAAGAAAGATGGGTAGAAAGCAAATAGATGGAGGAGGAGGGGAGGGGGAAGAGAGAGAGAAACAAAGAAAGCAAATAGATGGGGAAGGAGGGAGGGAGGGGACCACTGGCTGGGGAAGGGAAGATTGAACAGGGAGGCTGCACAATATGTGTAAAAGAGCCACATGTGGCTCCTGAGCTGCAGTTTGGCCACCCCCACACTAGAACTTCGACCACAATCCTGACAAGCAGCTTGCAGTTCAACTAGGCTCAGTTAAGATTCCAGAAGAAGGGCAATTTTAGGGCTTTGTCACCCGGCCATCAATCCACAGAGCAGGGGTCCCAGCACAGAGCCAGCCAAATGGTTTTAGACACCGGCGGGGCCAAGTGGGTCTTTTTTCTGATTGGTTACTGGAGATCTGACTGGCTGTGCAGATTTTCAAAAACACTGCTTTGGTAGCAGCTGCCACCACAGCACAAGGATCTTCCTCATGTGGCCACAGGTAAGCTGTGGCTGCCATTTTGGGACGGGCTCTGCCTCCTGCAGCAGCCATTCTGCAGCTGCGTCCACCACAGTCGGTCAGAATTACAAGGATGCCCGCAGGCTCAAAAAGGTTGAGGACCCCTGACACAGAGCAAATTTTTTTTAGCCTTTGCGATCCCGCAGATTCCCTTCTCAGTGACAGCAGCACAATACCCCAGCTGCATGGGCCCACAAGGGATTGTCTAGCTGTTGTCGTCGGTTTCATTTATAAAGAAGCTTGCTAGGTGCAGCCTCCAACACAGAAGAGCGGAGATCAAAGAAAAGACTCTGAAAATGGGCTACCTGCCCAAAACTCCCAAACCTTATGAAAAATGTACCGATAGAAATTAACAACTGAAACGTCTATTGAAAATAATGCAACACTTTAGTGAATAATACCATCAATACTGATAAATTCACAAGTTACAAGACACCCGTTGCCAACCAATCCAAAAGGATGTCATTAAACAACCAAATAAAGAAATAGCTTGAACATCCTATAAATGTATACAGAATAATTACACGAAGACAAAACAATCACAATGAGGATAAGTAACAACACCAATGTTCCCTCTAAGCTGTGGAGTCTTGTGTGCAAAACTTCTGCTTTGTGAGCTACCGGCATTAAAGTTGCGAGCGAGCAATTTGGCTACTCCATAAATTAGGTTGCTCTGGAGCCCTCCTTCCCGGGCTGAGACAAAAACATGTGAGCTGGAGGCTAAAAAACTGTGAGCTGGCTCACACTAACTCAGCTTAGAGGGAACACTGAACAACAGCCGTGATTAGTACAGAACAAGTAACACAGAAGCGGGCAGGGCTCCCAGTTTTTCCCAAACCAATCAAGGCACTAAGTTCAATTGCTCTGTGGTATATTAAAAAAAAATAAAAATCCAGCATACAGTTGGTGCTGACCGTCAGGGGCACATACTTTACAGGGTACAGACAGCGATGGCATTTTCTCCCCGGTACAAAATAATGGTGAATGGGAGGAAGATCTGCCATGCAGAATCAGTCTTACCACAGGTGCACATAGTGTAAAATTTGCTCTTCCTTGTCAAAAACAGAGCTATTCATATAGAGCTTGTTCTGGCACTGGACTTTAACTCCACAGCCACTGACAGACCATATTTCCTCCATCAAAGAGACCCTGGGGCAGTCACTCTTTTGCTCAGCCTGACCTACCTCACAGGGCTGTTGCAGGATAAAAGGGGAATGAACGCTGCCCCAATCCTCTTTAATCAAAGAGTTTTTATTTCAAAAATTTCTATGTGGTCTCTCCAGGAAACTTACCCAAAGTGGCTTACAACACATAAACTGTTACTCCACCTACTTGGCCCTTGTTTGGTGTAGTGGTTAAGTGCGCGGGCTCTAATCTGGGAGAACCGGGTTTGATTCCCCACTCCTCCGCTTGCACCTGCTGATGTGACCTTGGGTCAGTCACAAGCTCTGGCACAGCTGTCCTTGAAAAAGAGCAGTTTGTGTCAGAGTTCTCTCAGCCCCACCCACCTCACAGGGTGTCTGTTGTGGGGAGGGGAAGGAGTTTGTAAGCCACTCTGAGACTCCAAGTGAAGGGCGGGGTATAAATCCAATCTCTTCTTCCTCTTGTTTGCATCTACACCGTGAACACATCACTGAAGGTAGGCAGGAAAGGAATCAATCACAGAGGCATTAAGCCCACTTACCCGTTTCTCTTGGGCGGGGCTGTCGAAGTTTCCCATCCTGCCCAATTAACATTTGTCCGCTACAAGTATACTGAGAACAAGCTTCTGGTCTGCCTGCTGGTGGTGCTGGACACTGTGCAATTAGACGGGCTCCCACCACGCTTCCGTCCCGCTTATTATCCATGTAAGCTTGGGCTCCTCTGAAAAGCAGCTGTTTTGTTTTTTCTGCAAATGGCCAAGAATGAGATACACAATATTAACTGGTCCCCACCCCTGAAGTCATCCTAATGAACACCCGCTTCCCCCTGCCTCCAGAAAAGCCCTTTCAGGTTGCAAAGTGGGGACGGCAACTTAACTCCCACCCCCGTTCCAACTTATTTGTTTACTTGTTTTATGCCCCACTTCTCTCCCCAAGGAGTACCCAGAGTGGTTCACAATATTTCCCCCCTTTCTCATTTCATCTTCACAACATCCCTGCAAAGCAGGTTAGGCTGAGACTCAGACCTGATCGAGGTTTATAAGATTATGCATGGGATAGAGCAGGTAAAGAAAGAAGTACTTTTCTCACAATACAAGAACTCATGGGCACTCCATGAAATTGCTGAGCAGTCAGGTTAGAACAGATAAAAGGAAATCCATCTTCACCCAGAGAGTGATTAACACTGCCACAGGAGGTGGCGGCTACAAGCATGGACGGCTTCAAGAGAGAACTGGATAAACATATGGAGCAGAGGTCCATCAGTGGCTATTAGCCACAAGGTATAGATAGGAACTCTCAGGCTGGGGCAAGTGGTGCTCTGTATTCTTGGTCCTTGGGGGGGCAACAGTGGGAGGGCTTCTAGTGTCCTGGCCCCACTGCTGGACCTCCTGATGGCACCTGGTATTTTTGGCCACTGTGTGACAGAGTGTTGGACTGGATAGGCCATTGGCCTGATCCAACACTGGCTTCTCTTATGTTCTTATAACCTGACTCTTCCAGCGCCTAGTCTGACACTCTCAATGCCATGCAACATTGGCTTTCAGTGACCGTCCACAGCCACGATATTGATGACGTTTCACAGGTACAATTCCTTCCACAAACATGGAGCATATTCAGAGGTTCAGAACCCTGCTAGGAGCAGTGAGATACCGCCATGCCCCACAAACACACTTAACATAAGAATGTACCAGGTGCCGTCAGAAGGTCCCGCAGTGGGGCCAGCTGCAACTATGCACTTCGTTGGCCAGCTGCTACTATGCATTTCCCTGGCAGGCAACCACATTGCCCTGCGGTTAAACAGGGCCTCCTATTTCTTCCTCAAACACACCCTCTAAACATTCAAAATCAAAATAAGGACATGCTTGTAAATACACCTCAGTCCCACACCAAGTATCAGTTCCCCTTTCCTTACTGCAGACTGTTAAAAAACCTGCCCTGCCTGGCTGCACTGATGCATCCTGCAAGTGGCCAATAAGGAGAACCGTCGGCGTTTCAAAATAATGCTTCAGCATCTGCAGAACGTGAACTGACACTGCAGGATGCTTTCATGTGGGCACTCACATAGGCATGCACAGGACTTTTTTTTTAGAAAAAGCCCAGCAGGAACTCATTAGCATATTAGGCCACACCCATGACAGTGCAGCTCATTAGCCTATTAGGCCACACCCCCATGTTACCAGAAGTGTGGTCATCCAGCCACACCCACCTTTTGCTTGTTATTCTGTTTACCCTGTTTGTTGTCAAAACCCAGGGCCTTTTTTGGAGCAGGAACTCCTTTGCATGTTAGGCCACACACCCCTAATGTAGCCAATCCTAATGAGTTCCTGCTGTTGGGTGTGGCCTATTATGCTAATGAGTTCCTGCTGGGTGTGGCCAGCTCAGGAGCCAGCCGGAACTCCGTTCCTGCCCAAAAATAGCCCTGTCATGCAGATGTGCACTAGAAAATAAAAGATTATCTACACACACTTCAGGAGACTCAGAGAAGCAAAGTGAACCTTGAAGGTTAAGTGCTGTTAAAGCCGGTTAAATGGCCCGGCCCAAGAAGGTCTAATTTATGTCAGATCCGGCCCTCATAATAAATGAGTTCGACACCCCTGATCTATTCAGTCCCCACAACCACCCTGTGAGGCAGCTGCTGCCTCTCCAGAGAACAGTTTATCCAGAGATAAAAATGGAGAGAAGGATGATGTAAGCCGATTTGGGTCCCCATTGAGAAGAAAGATGGGGCATAAATAAAAACCCAAATTTTATTTATTTATTATTAAATTTATACCCCGCCCTTCCCCGTGGGGCTCAGGGCGGCTTACATGACAAGAGAAAAACTTGCTGATAAAACATCAATACTTTAGTACAGTTAAAAAAATATAATATACAATTTAAAACCCATTCAAACATTAAAGTGCTCAAAACTACACATTATTCATTCCGGAATCTCAGAGAGGGCGACAACCATAGCACAACCCAAACATTCCCGGTAGGCATTCATAATAGATGTTAACAGGTGTTTCTACCTGGCCTCCAGGCCCTAACCCCCCCCAAAGATGGTGTATAGCCGGGGGGGGCGGCGGCCCCTAATCGAAGGCCTGGTGGAAGAGCTCCGTCTTGCATGCCCTCCGAGAAGGCCCTAGCCCTTGTGACGGCCAGTTTAGCATCCTTGGGGCCCGGCAAAGTTAGAAGATTCTGGGCCCCAGACCGTAGCGCTCTTGGGGGAACATACGGGGAAAGGCTGTCCTTCAGGTAGGCTGGACCCAGACCATTTGGGCTGAGAAAGCATGACTAGCACAGTGTCGCCCAGTGAGTTTGACAGCAAGCAGGCATCTGAATCCCAGGCCTGACAGTTTACTGGCACTTTCCACCACCAGTTTCCTGTAACTAGCTTTTGAGATAGAAGAAAGTTAGACTCCAGTGATTTAAATCCAACAAAGTTTTATTCAAGGTGTGAACTTTCGTGTGCAAGGCACACTTTGAATAAAACTTTGGTTGGTCTTAAAGGTGCCACTGGACTCTAACTTTGTTCTGTTGCTTCAGAGCAACGCAGCTGCCCACCCTGATCTAGCTTTTGAAATGTTATTCCAGTTTTGACTGAAGAAGTGTGCATGCACAGGAAAGCTTACACTTTGAACCAGTGTAAAGGTGCCACTGGACTCAAACTTTACAATACAGTAGCACACACCATAGTCCCGAAAATATTTGTCATGTAACTTCGTAGAGCATTTTGTACAGTGATTAAGGGCGGGGTGGCTGCAAAGAAGGCAAGTTGGAGCAGATACCTTAGCCTACTTTTGGCATCTCAAGAAGGCACTAAAAACAGTGGGGGACCAACCAGCATTTGCAAATCTGAGGAAAGGCGGCGGAAGGAGCAGCAGGGCTGGTGTACAACTTGGTAAGACGGGGGGGGGGGGCTTCCTCTGGTTTAACACTACCCATCATGACAGGAGAGCAGTTCTCGCGAGAACGAGATCTGGCGGTTCCGGGTTGGGGGCTCTGGACCAAAGTATGTTCTTCCCACCAGCTCTCGCGAGAACGAGACCTCGCCCACCCGCCGCCTCCGTTTCTCTCCCCCAAGTTTCCTCACCGAAGATTTCTCGCCGGTACCTCTCGCCCATGACGCCCTGGCTCAACTCCCGCATTCTGACCCGGGTTTTTAGCTGCAGCGGGGCCGAGTCCCCGAACGGGCAGGAGCGCTTCGGCATCCCTTTTCCTTCAACCCCGCCCGGCTGCCAACCGCCACCGGCGCGCGCGGGAAAAAACTCAACGACGGAGGCAGCCTCCCCTGAGGTAAACAGCAACACCCAGCCCGCCTTTCTTCAAGACCAACCCCCTTTTACGTCACCTGCCAATCGTGGAAGGGACGAGCGAGAAGGGGAGTTGATGAAAGGAGCGAGTAGGCGGGGCGAGGTGACGCCATCGGATTAGGTGGGGAAAGGGAGGTAGCGATCAAGGGCGCGAGGCGGCCAGGTCCTGTTGGTTGGAGGCGGGGCGTAGCGTCACTCGCGAGCGACCGTTCGCTCCCGGGCTTCTGCCTGCCTCTTCCGCCCGGTGGCCCTTCACTCCCTCAGTCGCTCCCTCGCGCGGTCGTGCGTCGTCCTGACCCAGGGCACTGGTGCCCAGGGCGCATGCGTGGGCTTGGCCGGCTTTCTTTTCGCGCGCTCTGACTGCCCGCTATTGACCAAGGTCGGGTGGAGAGGTAGGTGAGCAGCTGGCAGGCGGGGAGGGAGTGAATTGCTAGGCTCGTCTGCCTTAGAAAACAGTCAGCTGCAGTTCCTTCGATGCCCTTAAACGGAGTCCTTCCATTTCTCCCATTTTTCCCTCTATGCAACTCTCTAAAGTGGGTTAGGATCACCAGCCCGTGCAATGTGGCGTAGTGGTTAGAGTGGTGAATTTAAGACCAAAGAGAGAGGGGTTCAAATCCCTGCTTGCTACGAAACCCGCTGAGCGACCTGGGCAAGTGTGCTCTCTCTCATCCTAACCTACCTCACAGGGTTTTTGTGAGGAGAAAACAAGGAAGTGCTACCCACCACCCTAAGTGTCTTATAAGCAATGTTCCCTCTAAGCTGTGGAGTCTTGTGAGCAAAAATTCTGCTTTGTGATCTACTGGCATTAAAGTTGTGAGCGAGTGATTTGGCTACTGCATAATTTAGTTTGCTCTGGAGCCCTCCTTCCCGAACTAAGACAAAAATGTGTGAGCCGGAGGTTAAAAAACTGTGAGCTAGCTCACACTAACTCATCTTAGAGGGAACACTGCTTGTAAGTCAGATAATAAAAATGCATGAAAAACCTGAGACTGCCCTCGCCCATCTCTCACTGAAATTAGTGACTAAGAGGCCATTTGAGCCCTGGTCTGACACAGCGGCTTCAGTTCACCGGAGCGTCTGTGCAGACACGAGAATCCGTGCCCTCAAAGTGTGACCTCTCACCTACTGGTGTCAAACATCTACAATGCAATGTTGCATTTTGGGCAGCAGAGGGAGGTGAGAAAATCAGGCTTTGTGGATTCCAAGCCGTTGTATCTGCTCTATTTAGGTTTCTGATTCTTTAGCGGTTCATTCCCAAGCTTTTTTCTTGAAAACAGGCACAATTTTGTTTTTCTTTGTAGACAAGTTGAAATACTTCAGCATGTACCATATTCTGTGCTTACATGGTTACAATGGCATAGATGATTCTGTTCACACACTGTTACTGCATAATCCTGTCAATAATCTTTCTGTCAGATTTTGAAAATATAAATATTAATTTAAAACCTTTCTTTCTCCCCAGGCTACCTCTTGGCTTCTGGTTAATTTTCTGGAATTGTATCGTTTTCCGTTTTAGATTATCATTTTAAGGTAACATTAAACAATGATTTTGCTGCTCCACATAATTCTAACATGAAGGACACTTTCTAATATTGGCTAGTGGTTGCTGTTTCCTGCAGAGTAATGGGGCCAGGGAGAAAGCACATTTGGCCCTATGCTGTGCACCCTAAAACAAGGTGGTGCTGCTACCCTTAAGCGCACTGCTTTTGCTCTTTTGGGCTTTTAATTCCATATCAAACCATTGTGGAGGCCATAATTTCCAAACTTCTAATTTAAATAGCTAGTTTCTCTGTGAGACTAACATAACTTTTTTTTGTTGGCTGCAACAGAGTGGTGGCTATCCCTCTGGAAAGTGTGTGTATGAGAAAAAGATGCTTGAACAAATAAATGGATATGCAGAAATTTAATTGATCACATCTGGATTATTGGTTTCAAACTCTGTTCTGTCTATAAATAGGCTAGATTCAGATGGGTAGCCATGTTGGTCTGAAGCAACAGAACAAAGTGAGTCCAGTGGCACTTTTTAAAGACCAACAAAGTTTAATTCTGGATATAAGCTTTCATGTGTGTGCACGTTTCATCAGATACATTGAAACAGTTTTCCTCAAGCCTTACATATAATGTAACGTAACGATAAATATGTATATAATAATATACACACACACACACACACGTAAGACTTGAGGAAAACTGTTATCTGATGAAGTGTGCATACACATGAAAGTTGTACCCAGAATTAAACTTTGTTGGTCTTTAAAAAGTGCCACTGGACTCAAACTTTGTTCTATAAATAGGCTAGTCACTTTGCTCATTTTCATTACCAGGACTGTACAAGAATCTTGTTGCCGTTCAGGTCATAGGTCCATGTGGACACTAAGAGTAGTGGGAAGCAAATTCGGGTTTTCTTCCGGATCTCCAGAGCTGAGTGACAGCATGAATTAACATCCAAGAATGGCTAAGAAACCAAAGACTTATCACTTTCACAATGAGTGGGAGGAACAATTTTTCTTCACTTTTCTCAAATCCAAGTGTGTGTGCATCATATGCCATTTTAGAGCAGCTGAGCCAAGAAAGTGGAACCTCGACAGACATTTCAAGACAAACCACAAGCATTTTATGGAACGCTACCCAGAGAACAGTGAACTGCGGAAAGCCAAAGTCAGGGAGCTGAAGACTCACTTAATAACAGTCACGGGCCTGGGGAATCCTGATTGCTCTAGGTCCAAGGCCGCAACCGTGGCTTCACTGCGGGTAAGCTATCTACTTGCGCAACGTAAAAAACCATTTGAGGATGGAGAAATGATTAAATAGACATTCCTTGAGGCCGCGGATTCATTATTTGAGAACTCCAAAAACAAAGCTGAATTTCTGTCTTCCATTAACGATCTTCAGCTGTCACGGAAAGCGGTGACACGCCAAATAGAAGCCATGAGTGCTAATTTGTCTGAGCAGCTGCAGAGTGACACGGAGGAGTGTGCCTGCTTCTCCCTCCAGTTGGATGAATCCACGGATGTGACGAACACCTCTCAGCTGTGCATTTTCATCCACTTAGCTTTTAATGACTTCCGAGTAAAAGAAGATATGTTAAAAATCATTCTTTTGAAAGGGAAGACTCATGGGGAGGACATTTATATGGCTTTTATGGAACTTATACAAGCGAGCAAGTTGCCCCTCTATAAACTAGTCTCTATCATGGCAGATGGAGCCACCTTCCCGGCTGGGTCTGTAAGCGAGTTTCTAGCTCTCTGCAGAGCTGACGACAGTTTCCCTGGCTTTCTCTCTTACCACTGCACCATCCATCAGCTAGCCTTGTGTGGTAGAATGCTAAATATGAAAGATGTGATGGACATTGCCACGAAAATAGGGAATTCCACCAGAACAAATAGCTTGCAAAGGCGACTGTTCAGCAAATTGGAGGAAGAAAGCCCACCACGAAGAGAACTTTTGCTCCACGCAGATGTAAGGGGGCTAAGCCGATGAAGATTTTTACAAAGGTTCAGGGACTTGTTGCCGGAAATCAAGGAGTTCCTTTCCTCTCATGGTGACAGGTATCCACAGCTCGAGGACGATGGGTTGTGGAAATGATTGGTTCTGTCAACTTCTTTAAAAAGAAGTTGAGCCTGTTGTCTTCCCAACTCCAGAGGAAAGACCTCAAGAACTTTCCAAATCTCGCCCACGCAGTGTCAGAGCAGTCAGAAATGAAAAACCTACACAACGTCAAGAGGTACATCGAACAGCTGGAAAACGTTGCTGCTGATTTTCAGAGGTGTTTTCAGGATTTTACGAGGCTCGAACCAGTCACCACGTTCCTGTGGGCCCCTTTCGAAAACATCGATGTGGAAGATACTGCATCAAAAATCAAATCGTTATTTCCAGTGGACTACGGCAGCATTGAAAATGAGATTCTGCTGCTTCAGTGTGATTTGCAACTAAAGTCGAGGCGTTCTGATCCTAGCTTCTTCAACTTAATGGACGAGGCAAAATACCCGGGGCTCAGAAAAGTAGCATTGTATATCACATCTTTTTTTGGTTCTACTCACCTTTGCGAGTTTGCATTTAATACAATGAATGCCATCAAGTCAAAGTACCGTTCCAGTATAACCAGTGAACAGCTGGAATCATGTTTGAGACTGGCTGTCAGCAATTATATCCCCGATTACTCAAAACTTGCAGATATAATACAGTGCAAGGTTTCTGAATGAATGCATCTTTCTTCATGGTTTCAAATTACTTTGAGAAAGGAGATTGAGTTGGCCCTTGCACTTAAGTTTTTGCATTTAAAACATTATTAGTAACATAAACAGGCCTTTGCATACTGGTATTTATGTACCAGGATATATATTTTTGTACTAGCTACCCTTTTGTGGCTGCCTCTGCCTCCCAAAAACAGCAGCTCGTAGTAGCTTGAATTCTGTCTTCCCCTCTCATAGATTTACAGGCATTTCAGCTTTGTTTGACGTTTTGTAACATTTTAAACTGCTGTTTACTGTTTATTATTTATTTTGTTCTGCTGTTGGTTTTATTGGCTAAAGGACATTTTTTCATGTACATTTATTTATAGAGCATTCCTACATGAAACTACTCCAGCTGAAACACATTGAAATCCATAGGCTTAGACTGCTGTCATTTTGCATAGGATTACAGAGTCACAGAGTTGGAAGGTGTCATGATGGCCATCTAGTCCAAGCCCCTGCTCAATGCAGGATCAGCCTAGAGCATCCCTGACAAGGGTTTGTCCAGCTGCTGCTTGGAGACTGCCAGTGAGTGGGAGCTCACCACCTCCCTAGGCAGGCGATTCCATTGCTGAACTATTCCTGTAAAAACATTTTTCCCAGTATCCAGCCAATGCCTTTCTGCCCTATCCTCTGCTGTCAAAAGGAACAACTTCCTGCCTTTCTCTAAGTAACAACCTTTCAGATACTTCAGGCGAGCACTCATGTGCCCCCCCCGCCTCCTTTTCCCCAGATTGAACATTCCTGAGTCCCTCAGCCTTTCCTCTTAGGGCATTGTC